CTCTGAAAAGGAAATCTGAAAAACCATATCATTTATTGTAGGTTCCCAAGAGATAAAATATTTAGGAATAAATCTAACCTGAGAAAAAAAAATACCTTTAAAAGAAAACTACAAAATGCTACTTAAAAAAAAACAAACATATACCAGGCTCACAGTTAGGAAAACTTAACATTGTGAAAAATGTCAATATTACCCAAAGAGACATACAAATACAATGCTATCCCAATCCAGATTTCAACATCATTCTTTAAAGAGATGGAAAAACTAATCACCAACTCTATGTGGAAAAGAAAGAGATCCCAGTAAAGGAAAGCATTACTATAGAAGAACAAAACTAGGATATGTCTCAATTCCTGATCTATAAACTTATTAGAAAATCAGCTTGATACAACAAAAGACACATAGATCATTGGAACAGAATTGAGTACCCAGTAACAAATCTATCCACTATCAAGCATAACTGAAAGCACACAAACAGCAAAAGACAAACTAAATGATTGGGACCTCCTAAAAATTAGATATTTATATGCATCAAAAGATTTCACTAAAAGAACAAAAAGAGAACCCAGAGACTGGCAAAATATTGGTAATGACATATCAGACAAGGGACTAATCACTAACATTTGTAGGAAACTTCAACACTTCAACTCGAAAAAGACAAATAATTTAAAAATGGGCAAAGGCCATAAACAGACATTTCGCCAAAGAAGACATTCAGGCAGCCAAAAAACATGAGGAAATGCTTGTGATCATTAGTCACCAAACAGATGCAAATCAAAACAATAGTGAGATATAATCTCACCCCAGCATTAACAGCAAAGTTCATAAAAGTAGAAAACAACAAATGCTAGTGAGGGTGTGGAGAATATAGAACCCTCCTACACTGTTGGTGGAATTGTAAATTGGTGCAAATACTGTAGACAAATGGTATGGCGTTTCCTCAAAATAAAAAGGGGGGGGGGGGCAGAAATACTATATGACCGAACAATCCCTTTACTTGGTATTCTAGAGAAATAAGATCTGTGACACCCATGTTCATTGCAGTGCTATTTACATTATCAAAAAGATGGAGACAACATAAATGCTCATCAATGGAAAAATGGATAAACTTTGTTATATACACACAATGGAATACTCCACAATATTTAAGAATAATGATGACTCTGCAAAACACCTCTTTACATGGATAAACCTGGAAGACATTATACTGAGTGTAATTAGTCAATCGCAAAAAGACAAATATTGTATAAGACTACTATTATAAAAAGTCAACAAAAGGTGTTCATGTATATTAAAAAAATATTTCATGATTATCTGTTTTTGGTATTCAAAAACAGTTCTATGAAAGTCTATTATGAAAATAGACATATCAACATACAAGAAAAAAATATATATGAGAGTAAGGAAAAAATTATTGCTAAAATGTAATAGAAACATTTATTAAACAAAGATATAAAAATGTGAAGCTATTATTTATTGGAACACCCTTCACCTTGATCTATACATTTCTGAAGGTTGTGTTCCAATTTCTCTAACCATTCCCTAAAGAATTCTCCACTCTTCGATTTATTCTATATCTAAGGTTCTCCAGAAGGAGCTCTGGTAGCGTAGTGGTTACAAATCGGGCTGCGACCCTTAAGGTTGGCAGTTCAAAACTACCAGCTGTTCCACGGGAGAAAGATGAGGCTTTCTGCTCCCGTAAAGATTTACAGCCTTGGAAACTCTGTACAGGGTCGCTATGGGTTGGAATCGACTCGACAGCACTTAACAATAACAAGGTTCTCCAGACTTCTGATGTGGTGCTGTGGATCAGCACTGGACTACGAACCACAAGGTCAGCAGTTCAAACCCATCAGCTGCTCCTTGGAAACCCTATATAGGGGTGCTATCAGTCAGAAACAATGGCACTTAACAACAACAAAGGTTCCAAGTGACACAAATAGTGTTCTTTTTTAAATGTTTTTTAAGGTTTGGAAACAAAAGAAAGCTGCAGGGGCAAGATAACAGTTATGTGATGGATGGAGTAGCTTTCTGAATGAAATTATCACAGGACAGCCTGTGCTATCCTCTAAGAATGAACAAGCACATGGTCATGATGAAAAAAATATCCCTCAGAACAATTTTCTTGGCCATTTGTGTCCTCTGGAAAAAATGTCTCAATATTACTCTTTTGAAATCCCAAAAGTGAGTCCTAACTTTAGAGATGCTCTCTGCCTTGAATTTAACTGGCTCAGCAGATTCCCTCAGAAGTCACTGCTTTGATTGGACTTTTTTTTTTTTTTTTATGGCCACTAACAAGAATAAGACAAATGAGTACTCAGACAACTTGTTTGTAGTCATCCACTGATCACAGAGACATGTTTAAATATGTTTTGTTTGAAATAAACCCATAGGTGTATGAACTGGAGCCCTAGTAGCATAGCCTCATACATTTACCTAGTCTTTATTATTCAACGGTCTCATTATCTGACATTTCATAATATAGACATTTTTATAATAACAGTAAAAAAGATACTATACAATTGTAATAGTAAAAAAAATTACCATCTTATTCTGGTAGCGTAGAGGTTACGAATCGGGCTGCGAACCTTAAGGTCAGCGGTTTGAAACTACTAGTCGCTCTGCGGGAGAAAGATGAGGCTATCTACTCCCGTAAAGATTTACACCTTCGGAAACCCTGTACAGGGTCGCTATGGGTCGGACCCGACTCGATGGCACTTAACAACAACAACAACAAATGTTGTGTGTTAATAACATATACCCATCAATCAAAAGCACTGAGGTAAGAGGCAAGAATAACACTGACTGATAGTGAAGATTATGTGTCAACTTGCTTGGGCTATGCTTCTGAGTGGTTTGGCAGTTATATAATGATGTGGTCACCCTCCATTTTCATATAAAGCCAATTTCTGAATAATAATTCAGTCTTTGGAACCTAACCTTGTCCATAAGTGAAGAATATATTACATTATAAACCACATTAATATGTAATTTTTATTGTAGTAAATATACAAGTAACAAAATACTGGCAGTTCAGCAATCTTAAGAATTCCTTAATAATAATTATTTGCATCATGTTGTTCAACCCTCAATTTTAATTGTTCCTATATTTTTCTATAGGGGACTTTTTAAGGGAACAGGAATAAATTAGGAAGAGGAAGATTGCTTAGTTAAATACATTGGTTCTACACCAAAGTTTCCTCCATGTCATTAAGAAAATCTTTGAGATACCTCTGAAAGTTGTTTCATGTTTTTTTTGTTTGTTTTTATATGAAAAAAAATATCTAGAAGAAACTATGTTAACTACATTATCTTGATGCTGGATGAGAAGAAGTTTTCTAAGTTAAAAAACAAGAAAAGGAAAGTTACATGAGAAAAGTGACAAATGTAACTCCTAAAGAATTAGAAACATCAATATGTGATAATAGAGCAAAATAAAAAAATAAAGACCACCAACCCATTTAAAATAAGTATGCGTAATTAATAATGGCTCCAGGTTAAATTCTATTACACAAATAGTTTCTAAATTTTCAAATGAGACTTTTAAAACTCATATCCTGAGAAAATAAAAAAATAAATAAAAGAATAAAAACTACTTTTGAGCTATTTTTGCTCTGAAACAATCTCCCTACTGCCAAGGCATTAACACTGTCTTTCTGGATAGTAAACCCTCTACTCTTATCTGTTATAGCATCTAGGAGGAACCAGTAAGTAGCTTCTCGTACATATTTCAGAAGGTATTACGGATAAGGAAAAGATCAATTATATTATTTTCTCTTGCTCACTTTTTGTCCTCTACCTTAAAATCACTAGGCTTTATGATCAATGTAAAATTCTAAAATTAAAATACAAAAATTCAGAAAATCATATTATCTGAACAGTGCAATAAAATAAAACAATATAAAATAATTTTCTAAAAACTTGTGCATAAATTACCTCCATTAAATTGCCATTTTCAATCCAGTTTATTAATTCTTCCTTTAAGATCTCTTCATATTTTCTAGTATCCAACTTTTTAATGACTATTTTGTTCTTAAAATGAATGAATTTCTCAGGACATAATTCCTTGAAAACAAGTATCACAAAATTATAGCAAACCATGCAAGAATATCTAAAGATGCTTCTTAATTATGTATTTGTTTACAACATTACAAGTTTTGTAAGTGTAGACACTGTTGAACTTCTTTTTATCACCTGATGCATATTAAGACAGGTAAACTTTCCAAAGGGTAAAATATAGAAAAAAAAACAAGAAGGAGATGAAAACTGACAGAAGTAGTACATAGAGGAAGGAGAAGAAGGCAATAAAAGGAAACAAAGGAATCCAAGAATTAAAGCACACTAAAATACAGCTTCCTAAAAATGGAAGGAAATACATTCAAGACTAAATAGTGTTCTACACCATTAACATAAAACATAGTGTTAAGAATAATGTCTAAGAAGTTTCCTCTTTTTTGTGAAAAGGATCACTGGTAATTTTAAAAGATCAGTTTCAAATGATTAGAAATTCAATTTATTTTATCATCCTCTTTAATAGAATTAATTAAAATTAATTTATACTATTATTTATTTACCTGGACTCTGGGCCAATCCCTCCAGACTTGAGCCATGGTGTCATAAAGCTGAATGCTTTCTCGAGGTGAAAGGGCAAAATCAGAAGGGAACCCACACTTTTCGATCTGTATTTAAAATAAAATACAATGTTTGACTCTTCCTTTTATCTTATTTTACCTTACTCAAAATCACTATCCACAAACACGAAAGTATCTAGGGATACTAATTAAATTATTCAAAATGACTAAGAGTCTCCATGAGATACTAAAGTAGAAAACCACCATATAAACCCCTATAAAAAGGATTTATAGTAGGTCAGCTAATTCTCTATGAATTGCCTCCAGAGCCAAAAACAGTCTAGTGTTTAGGTAGAACATATGTACACTTAGTATAGACAAAAACTAAAATTGAAGTTGGTTTAATAAAGAAGATGATACTTTGTTTTTATGAGTACCAAGAAACCAGTTGCTCTCAGGTTGATTCTGACTCATGGTAACCCAAGTTTGTAAGAAGAGATGCAACTACACAGCATTTTTAAGGCTGTTTTTTGGAAACAAATCACTAAGCCTGTTTTCCAAGGCACTGGTGAGTGGATTTGAACCACCTATCTTTCAATTCGTAATCAAGAACCTACATCACCCAGGGAACGTATGAGTGTCAAGTCAGGCTAAAAGTTACAAAGCTTATTTGCTTATGTGGAAAGACAAAAGCCAGATCAGCTTCAAGATAAAACCCTCACACCATCTTCAAACATCCAAAGAAATTTCTCCCCAGATCACTGATGTTTCTGTAAAGAATTACAGCCTACAAAACCCTATATACGTTGACTATGAGAAAGATTTGACTAATAGGTAATGAACTTGATTTAGTAAGCCTTAATGATGTTTGAGAACTCTTAGTGTGGTGCTATGAATAAACCACAAGACTGCAAGATCAGTTTGAACCATAAGGTCAGCAGTCCAAATTTACCAACTCCTTGGAAACCCTATATAGGTCTCTATGAGTTGGAATAAACTCAACATATCAGAACAACAACATGGAAATGTTTACCATTCATTTTATCCACAA